CTCGACTTTGAATTTCCCAATTTTTTTCCAATTTTCCCATTTTTCGACATTTTGTTTTAGACTTTTGAAAATTTTCCAATTTTTAATTTTTCGATTTTCGGTCATTTCCCATTTTCGATTTTTTGGCTTCTTGACATTTCGATTTCTCGATCTTTTTGTTTCGTTTCCTCGGTGTTTTTTCAATTTTTGGATTTTTGCATTTGAAATTTTTCGATTTCTCATTTTTTTCTGATTTTTCAGTTTTTCGATTTTTTAAATTTTGCATTTTCATTGTTTCCATTTTCCGATTTTCTAATTCAATTTTTCGATTTGTCAACTTGCCAGTTTTTCGAATTTAAAATTTTTCAACATTTCAATTTTGGATTATGGAGTTTTTAAAATTTTTCAATTTTTAATTTTACGATCTTGCGCCGTTTCGGTTTTTGGCTTTTTCGACTTTGAATTTCTCGATTTTTTTTCCAATTTTCCCATTTTTCGACATTTTGTTTTACTTTTGAAAATTTGCAAATTGTTAATTTTTCGATCTTGGTCCGTTTCGGTTTTTCGTCTTCTCGACTTTGAATTTCTCGATTTTTTTCCAATTTTTCCATTTTTCGACATTTTGTTTTTTAGACTTTGGAAAATTTTCAAATTTTTAATTTTTCGATTTTGGGTCATTTCCAATTTTCGATTTTTTGGCTTCTTGACTTTTCGATTTCTCGATCTTTTGATGTTTCGTTTCTTCGGTGTTTTTCAATTTTTGGATTTTTGCATTTGAAAATTTTCAACTCCTCTTTTTTTTCCAATTTTTCAGTTTTTCTATTTTTTAAATTTGGTGTTTTCATTGTTTCTGTTTCCCCATTTTTCTAATTTTCTAATTCAATTTTTCAATTTGTCAACTGTCCAGTTGTTCGAATTTAAAAATTTTTCAACTTTTCAATTTTTCGATTTCTCGAAATTTGGATGTTTTGTCCTTTCGATTGTTTTATTTCCAGATTTATCGCTTTTTTTTTTAATTTTTCGATTTTTAATTTTACGATTTTGGGTCTTTCCTTTTTCGATTTTTGACTTCTTGACTTTTCGATTTCTCCATGTTTTCATGTTTCGTTTCCTCGGTGTTTTTTTAATTTCCCGATTTTTACATTTGAAAATTTTCGATTTCTCATTTTTTTTCTATTTTAACAGTTTTTCGGGTTTTTAAATTTTGCGTTTTTATTGTTTCCATTTCCCGATTTTCTGATTCAAGTTTTCGATTTCTCCACTTGCCAGTTTTTCGAATTTAAAAATTTTTCAACATTTCAATTTTGGAGATGTTTCAATTTTTCGGTATTTTAATTTTTCGATTTTTGTGATGCTTCGATTGCTCGATTTTTCGGATTTCGGTTTTTCAACTTTTCAATTTTTCGAAATTTGGGTGTTTCGTCTTCTCGATTGTTTAATTTCCTAATTTTTCCTGTTATCGAGTTTTTAAAATTTTTCAATTTTTAATTTCACGATCTTGGGCCGTTTCGGTTTTTGGCTTTCTCGACTTTGAATTTCCCGATTTTTTTCCAATTTTCCCATTTTTCGACTTTTTGTTTTAGACTTTTCAAAATTTTCAAATTTTTAATTTTTCGATACCGTACAGCCGTTATTTTTATTGGCCGGAATCGCCACATGTCGCATGACGAGTGCACCATTCCGTAACAAACCACAAATTTTTAATTTTTCGATTTTGGGTCATTTCCAATTTTCGATTTTTTGGCTTCTTGACTTTTCGATTTCTCGATCTTTTTATGTTTCGTTTCCTCAGTGTTTTTCAATTTTTGGATTTTTGCGTTTGAAATTTTTCAATTTCTCATTTTTTTCTGATTTTTCAGTTTTTCGTTTTTTTAAATTTTGCATTTTCATTGTTTCCATTTTCAGATTTTCTAATTCAATTTTGAAGATGTTTCAATTTTTCGGTATTTTAATTTTTCGATTTTTTTGATGTTTCGATTGCTCGATTTTTCGGATTTCGGTTTTTCAGCGTTTCAATTTTTCGAAATTTGGATGTTTCGTCTTTTCGATTGTTTAATTTCCCGATTTTTCTCTTTATCGAGTTTTTAAAATTCATCTTTTTTTTTAATTTTACGATCTAGGGCCATTTCGGTTTTTCGTCTTCTCGACACTCGATTTTTCAATTTTTTTTCAAAATTTTCATTTTTCGACATTTTGTTTTTCAGACTTTCAAATTTTTAATTATTCGATTTTGGGTTATTTCCATTTTTCGATTTTTTGGCTTCTTGACTTTTCGATTTCTCGATATTTTCAAGTTTCGTTACCTCGGTGTTTTTTCAATTTTTGGATTTTTACATTTGAAATTTTTCGATTTTTCAGTTTTTCGATTTTTTAAATTTTGCGTTTTTATTATTTCTAGTTCCCGATTTTCTAATTTTCTAATTCAATTTTTCGTTTTCTCAACTTGCCAGTTTTTCGAATTTTAAAACTTCAACATTTCAATTTTTCGATGTTTGAGCAATCTTTCGGATTTCGGTTTTTCAATTTTTCGATTTCTCAATTTATCGGAATTTGGATGTTTTGTGTTCCCGATTGTTTAATTTCCAGATTTATCGATTTTTTTTAATTGTTCGATTTTTAATTTACGATCTTGGGCCGTTTCAATTTTTCGTCTTCTCGACTTTTGATTTTTCGATTTTTTTTCAATTTTTGTACGTTTCAATTTTTCCGTTTTTCAACATTTCAGTTTTGGGTTTTTCAATTTTTCGTTTTTTAAATTTAAAATTTTTCGATTTCTAGTTTTTTTATTTTTCAGTTTTTCGATTTTTTAAATTTCGCTTTTTCAATGATGGAACTTTGATTTATTGGCATGTAGGTATTCGATTTTTAAAATTTTCAAAATACATATCTATTTTGGGGATTGTTCAATTTTTCGATCTTTTAATTTCTCGATATTTTAAATTTTTTGATGTTTCGATTGTTCGATCTTTCCCTGTTATTCGAGTTTTCGGATTTTGATTTACCGGTTTTTCTGCTTCTCGATTTTTCGATTTCTCAATCTTTTTATGCCGCTGGTGTAACTTTTTTGGACTTTCTTTGTTTTTTTTTTTCTGTTCGTGGCAATTTTGTTATTTTTATTTCCCTTTTTTTACTTTTTTTTTGTGCATTTTGTACCTTTTTGCGTTTTTGTGGCTTTTCATCCATTTTTATGCTTTGTAATTTCCAAACGAATTCTATAAAAAAAACGTATCCCTACACTTGTGGGTTATGAATCCGTCTTGATTTTTTACCCTAGACATACAGATTTTTCGAGAAAAACATCAATACTGTGGAATGTCATTCTTAACTTCTGTTTTGAAGACTTTTGAAGTTTTTCAATTTTTAATTTTTCGATTTTTTCACTTCTTGACTTTTCGATTTCTCGATCTTTTCATATTTCGTTTCCTCGGTGTTTTTTCAGTTTCTCGATTTTTACATTTGAAAATTTTCGATTTCTCATTTTTTCTGATTTTTACAGTTTTTCGATTTTTAAATTTTGCATTTTTATTGTTTCCAATTTTCGATTTGTCAGCTTGCCAGTTTTTAGAATTTTAAAATTTTTCAACATTTCAATTTTGGATATGTTTGAATTTTTCGGTATTTTAATTTTTTGATCTTTCGATTGCTCGATTTTTCGGATTTCGTTTTTTCGATTTGTCGATTTTTTTTCCAATTGTTGAATGTTTCAGTTTTTCCATTTTTCGACTTTTAGTTTTGGGTTTTTCAATTTTTCGTTTTTTAAAATTTTTCAATTTCTAGGTTTTTTGTTTTTCAGTTTTTCGATTTTTAAAATTTTTATTTTTTGACGATGGAATTTTGGATTTCTTGTCATGTAGATATTTAAATTTTGACATTTCTATTTCGAGGATTTTTAAATATTTCGATGTTTTAATTTCTGCATATTCTGACTTCTTGACTTTTCGATTTCTCGATCTTTTCATGTTTCGGTTTCTCGGTGTTTTTTAGTTCTTCGTTTTTTAAATTTGAAATGTTCCGATTTCTCCTTTGTTTTATTTTTCATCAATTTTTATGCTTTTTAATTTTTAATTCCCAAACAAATTCCATAGAATAACATCCCTACATTTGTGGTTTATGAATCCGTCTTGATTTTTTACCATACTCATACAGATTTTTAGGTTGTTTGACAGTTAATGTCAAACTTATTAGCATAAACGTGAAACATCATAATTTTTTTTTCGCGATTATATGTCAAATTTTTTTTGAAAAAGTGTAGATAGTACTTTTCGCTGCGTCTAACATGTGACCAATGAATGTCAGGTTTTTTATAAATGACACATCCATATGAAATTGATCACCACTTGTTGTCAAACTTATTAGCATAAACGTGAAACATCATAATTTTTTTTTCGCGATTATATGTCAAATTTTTTTTGAAAAAGTGTAGATAGTACTTTTCGCTGCGTCTAACATGTGACCAATGAATGTCAGGTTTTTTATAAATGACACATCCATATGAAATTGATCAACACTTTGATGACACTTAAATTAAAAATAATTACTCAATCAAAATTGCTCGGCCAATCTATATTTTGCGTACGCTATACTTGATTGGAGTTGAATGAATTGTTTTTAAGTGGTACCACCAAATGAGTAGACATAAATTTCAGTTTCTTCACTCTAAAGTTTCCTCATTGAGGAAATGACAAAATCGTTATATAAATTCTCAATGACTAACCAAAACCCCAGCGGTCGTACCATCGGTACTATAATTAAAGCCATCACATAAACCAACTCATCTTAATCCTTTCGCATGATCCAAAGACACCCAGAACCGCCCATATCTCCCATTCCGTTCACTTTCTCGCCCACCGCACACGTAATAACGATCATTCCCAGTACCGTACGGCCGTTATTTTTATTGGCCGGAATCGCCACATGTCGCATGACGAGTGCACCATTCCGTAACAAACCACAATAATTATTATTAATACATGACATGTGACGAAACCGTTTTTTAATTCTTTCATTTTTGCCATCTCCAGACCAATGCCTGGACCTCGGCAAGTCGTCCCAAGAAGACAGCGAGCCCGTGAAGGGTCAAATCATCATATCATTGTTGTCCAGGGACGGACCCTGCAGCGGAACTCCTCTGGCCGTCGTCGGGCCGCAGGGGGAGCTGCGGGGCCCCTCGGACCGGGATTCGTCCCCCTCGAATAACGACGATCTGCCTCCGGGCTGGGAGGAGAGGAGGACGAGTAATGGGAGGCCTTATTACGTCAATCATATCACTAGGTCAACGCAATGGATTAAACCCCAGTCGACGGGCAAGGCGAGGAGGAGGCCGTCGAACCAGGCCGAGAATAATAATGGGAACGTGGACAACACGGTGAGGGGGGTTTTGTTTTAAATGGATGAGCTAAAAGTGGGGTTCGGGAGGGTTGTTGGGCTGGTTGGGGTTTAATATCGATTGGGAATCGAGGTATGGTTGATGAGCTGAATTATACGCGATGTTCTTAAAATACATATCAAGTTTGACGTCAATCAGTCCAGTAGTTTTCATAATTAACAAATTAAAGCAAGAAATGCAACATGTATTTCATTTTTCACTTCCTAGGCGTAAACTGAAGAAGTATTGTAATCGAGTTCATCGGGCGACTACCTATTTTCATGTTTTCTCTATGTTTCATGACCTGTTTGCCGTCTGTATCGATTTTTGTTAAACAAATAATATTCGAAATGTAACCACAATTTGAGTGACGTCATCACCATATTTTAAAATAGTAAATGTTGTTTAAATTTTGTGGTTTATGAATCCGTGTTGAGTTTTTACTGTAGATTTTTATAAAAATTAAAATAAAAATTGCATACATGTTACACTTTAATTTTGAAATTACAAAATTGAATGCTTTGAAATCTTGCAAACCTTTTTTTGAGGTTATGGCAAGAATGGTAAATGCTTAATCAAAATTTATCCGTTCATGTCCCTCCCAGAAATTGATGACGTCATCTTATAATTTTGTGGAGTAAATGTTATTTTCAGTGTTAAAACGTAACATATTGCTGAATTTTTATTCTAAACAACGAGATTTTGGAGGAAAAAAAAAATCAAAATTATATAAGGATGTTTATTTTTCTCGATTTTTCGACGTTTTAGTTATTCGATTTTTCTATTCTTCAGTTTTTTAATTGTCCAATTTTTCGATGTTTCGGGTTTTTGGTTTTTCGATTTTCTAAATTGTCGATTTTTTCATTCTTCAATCATGCAATTTTTCGATTAATCCAATTTTAAAAAGTTTTCATTTTTAAATTTTTCGATTTTGGGCCATTTCGATTTTTCGGTATTTCGACTTCTCAATTTCTCGATCTTTTCATGTTCCTATTTCTCAATGCTTTTTCAATTTTTGGATTATAGCTTTTTTTTTGATTAATTGATTTTTTCTATTTTAAATTTTTCAGTTTTAATTCGGGTCATTTCGCTTTTTTCGACTTGTGGACCTTTCGATTATCCGATTTTCAAAATTTTTGACGTTTCTGATTTTTGAATTTTTCGTTTTCCCAATTTTTCGCGATTTCAGTTTTGGGATTTTTCAGTTTTACTATTCTTAAATTAAACATTTTTCTGTTTCTCGTTTATTTTCATGTTTTTAAATTGTACATTTTTGATGTTTTCATTTCCCGATTTTTTTTTTTTTTCTATTTCGAATTTTCGATTCGACATGTCGGTTTTTCGATGTTCAAAATATTTCAATTTTTCGGTATTTTATTGTAAATTTTAGATTTTTTGAGGTTTCGATTGCCTGATTTTTCTATTTTTCGATTGTTCAATTTCCGGATTTTTCAATTTTAGGCCATTTCGATTTTCAGTTTTTCTACTTTTCGAGTTTTCGATTTTTTGATCTTTACATGTTTCGATTTCTCCAGGTTTTTTCATTGTCTCGATTTCTGGATTTATTGAAATTTGATTGTTTCGATTTTTCGATTGTTCAATTTCTCGATCTTTCGTTTTATCGATTTTAAAAATTTTCAGTTTTTAATTTTTGGATTTTGGGCCATTTCGATATTTCGGTTTTTCGACTTTTCGATTCTCAATCTTGTCGTGTGTCGATTTCTCGGGTGTTTATTTCGATTTTTCAATTTTTGTATTTTTGGATTTCCCAATTTTTCAACATTTCAGTTATAGGATTTTTCAGTTTTACTATTTTTGAATTTAAAATTTTTTTGTTTTTAAATTCTACATTTTTGATGTTTTTATTTCCCGATTTTTTTGTTTTTCTATTTCGAATTTTCGATTTGACATGTCGGTTTTTCGATTTTGAAAAGTTTCTCAAAATTTAAATTTTTCGATTTCCCGATCCTTTCATGTTTCGATTTCTTGATGTTTTTTTAATTTTTGGATCTTACGATTTTTAAATTTTTTGCCATTTCAGTTTTGGCTTTTCCAATTTTTCTTAAGTTTAAAATTTTTTTGTTTTTTTATTTTTCAGTTTTTCGATTTTTTAAATTTTACATTTTTTATGTTTCCACATCCCGATTTTTGAATTTTTCGGCTTTTAATTCTTCGATATTTTATTTAAAATTTAGATTTTTTGTGGTTTCGCTTGCTTGATTTTTCTATTTTTCGATTGTTCAATTTCTCGATTTTTCGATTTTAGGCCAATTCGATTTTCAGTTTTTCTACTTCTCGAGTTTTTGATTTTTTGATCTTTTAATGTTTCGATTTCTTCAGGTTTTCTCAATGTCTGAATTTCTCAATTAATTGAAATTTGGATGTTTCGATTTTTCAATTTCTCACTCTTTTGTTTTATCGATTTTTAAAATTTTCAGTTTTTAATTTTTCGATTTTGGACCATTTCGATATTTCGGTTTTTCGACTTTCCAATTCTGAATCTTGTCATGTGTCGATTTCTCGGGTGTTTTTTTCAATTTTTCAATCTGTCGATTTTTGTATTTTTGGATTTCTCAAATTTTCGACGTTTTAGTTTAGAGATTTTTCAGTTTTTCGATTTTTAAATTTAAAATTGTAGTCTCGATTTCTTCTTTTTTTAAGTTATAATTCAGTCTTTGCAATTTTCGGTTTTTCAACAAGTCGGTTTTTCATGTTTTTTTTCAAAAATTTTCAACATTTGAATCTTGGGAATTTTTAAATTTTTCGGTGTCTTAATTTTTCGAATTTTTAAGTTTTAGATTTTTCGATGCTTTGGTGTTTTGTTTATTCGATCTTTCAATTTTTGCTTTTTCAATTTTTCGATCTCGATATGTATATAAATTTCGATGTTTGGATTTTTCGATTTCCAAATTTTCGAGATTTTAGTTTTGGGATTTTCGATTTTTGAGTCTTTTCAAAGTTTACATTTTTGATGTTTCTATTTCGCGATTTTTTAAGTTTCTAATTCAATTTTTCAGTTTTTCTACTTTTCGAGTTTTCGGTTTCTTGATTTTTTCATGTTTCGATCTCGGTTTATTGAAATTTGGGTGTTTCGATTTTTCGATTGTTTAATTTCTCGATATTTCGTTTTATCGATTTTTAAAATTTTCAGTTTTTCATTTTTTAAATCTCCCACTTTGAGCCATTTCGACATTTCGATTTCTCGATTTTTCCATGTTTAGGATTTTCGGGTGGTTTTTCAAATTTTCACTGTTTCGATTTTTCTGTTTTTGGATTTCCCAAATTTTCGACATTTCACTTTTGGATTTTTCAATTTTTCAATCTTTACATTTAAAATTTTTCGTCTCTATTTCTTGTTTTTATATTTTTATAGTTCAATCTTTTGAATTTTCAATTTCTCAGTAGGTCGGTTTTTCGTTTTTTCAAAAACTTTCTACATTTGAATCTTGGGAATTTTTCAATTTTTTGGCATTTTAATTTTTCGATTTTTTAGATTCTAGGTTTTATCTAAATTTCGATGTTTCGTTATATGGATTTTTTTAAATTTCAAAATTTTCAATTTCTAATTTTTTGCCTTCTCTTTTTTTTCACTGTTTCGATTTTTTTGTTTTTGGATTTCCCAAATTTTCGACGTTTCACTTTTGGATTTTTCAATTTTTCGATCTTTAAATTTACAATTTTTCGTCTCTATTTCTTGTTTTTATATTTTTATAATTCAGTCTTTCCAATTTTCAATTTCTCAATAATTCATTAATTAATAATGTTTATTAACGGATATACCTTTACATAAAATTATAAACATACAATTACCTTTACATAGAATTATAGACATACAATAAGTCGGTTTTTCGTTTTTTCAAAAATTTCCTACATTTGAATCTTGGAAATTTTTCAATTTTTCAGCATTTTAATCTTTCGATTTTTTAGATTCTAGATTTTATCTAAATTTCGGTGTTTCGTTATATCGATTTTTTGAATTTCAAAATTTTCATTTTCTAATTTTTTGATTTCTCATTTTTTTTACTGTTTCGATTTTTCTGTTTTTGGATTTCCCAAATTTTCGACATTTCACTTTTGGATTTTTCAATTTTTCAATCTTTAAATTCAAAATTTTTCGTCTCCATTTCTTGTTTTTATATTTTTATAATTCAATCTTTCGAATTTTCAATTTCTCAGTAAGTCAGTTTTTCGTTTTTTTTTTTAAATTTTCTACATTTGAATCTTGGGATTTTAAATTTTTCTGCATTTTAGTTTTTCGATTTTTTAGATTCTAGATTTTATCTAAATTTCGATGTTTCGTTATATCGATTTTTTGAATTTCAAAATTTTCAATTTCTAATTTATTGATCTCTCGTTTTTTTCACTGTTTCGATTATTCTGTTTTTGGATTTCCCAAATTTTCGGCATTTCACTTTTGGATTTTTTCAATTTTTCGATCTTTAAATTCAAAATTTTTCCTCTCTATTTCTTGTTTTTGTATTTTTATCATTCAGTCTTTCTAATTTTCAATTTCTCAGTAAGTCGGTTTTTCGTTTTTTCAAAAAATTTCTACATTTGAATCTTGGGAATTTTTCAATTTTTCGGCATTTTATTTTTTCGATTTTTTAGATTCTAGATTTTATCTAAATTTCGATGTTTCGTTATATCGATTTTTTTGAATTTAAAAATTTTCAATTTCTATATTTTTGATTTCTCGTTTTTTTTCATTTTTGCGATTTTTCTGTTTTTGGATTTCCCAAATTTTCGACATTTCACTTTTGGATTTTTCAATTTTTCGATCTTTAAATTCAAAATTTTTCGTCTCTGTTTCTTGTTTTTATATTTTTATAATTCAATCTTTCGAATTTTCAATTTCTCAGTAAGTCGGTTTTTCGTTTTTTCAAAAATTTTCTACATTTGAGTCTTGGGAATTTTTCAATTTTTCGGCATTTTAATTTTTCGATCTTTTAGATTCTAGATTTTATCTAAATTTCGATGTTTTCAAAATTTTCAATTTCTAATTTTTTTATTTCTCATTTTTTTCATGTTCCGATTTTTTGATGTTTTTTTTAATTTTTGATGTTTCAGTTTTTCCATTTTTCGATTTATCGAAATTTCGTTGTTTCAATTTTTTCGATTGATCTTTTTCTCGATTTTTCGATTTTGGACCATTTCGATTTTCGTACTTTTCGTTTTGTCGATCTTTTCATGTTTCGATGTCTCGGTTTTTTCAATTTTTCATTGTTTCGATTTCACAATTTTCAACATTTTAGATTGGGGATTTTTTTAGTTCTTCAATTTGTCTTTTTTGTATTTTTTGGTTTTAAAATTTTTCGGTATTGTAATTTTTCGATTTTTTTAAATTTTAGATTTTTCAGTTGTTCAATTTTCCAATTTTTCGATTTATCGAGTTTTTTGAATTTTAAATTTTTCAATTTTTAATTGTTCGATTTCACGATCTTTTTTCAATTTTCCCAATTCTTCACTTTCGGGCAATTTTTCGACTTTTCGAATTATAGATATTTTCATGTTTCCATTTCCCAATGTTCGACATTTTAGTGTTGGAATTTTTTAATTTTCCATTTGTCTTTTTCATTTTTCAAAACTCTATTTATCCAGTTTTTTGAATTCCAAAATTTTCAATTTCTAATTTTTTAATTTCTCGTTGTTTTCACTATTTCGAGTTTTCTGTTTTTGGATTTCCCAAATTTTCGACATTTCACTTTTAGATTTTTCAAATTTTCGATCTTTAAATTCAAAATTTTTTGTCTCTATTTCTTGTTTTTATATTTTAATAATTCAGTCTTTCGAATTTTCAATTTCTCAGTAAGTCGGTTTTTCGTTTTTTCAAAAATTTCCTGCATTTGAATCTCGGGAATTTTTCAATTTTTCGGCATTTTAATTTTTCGATTTTTTGAATTTTAGATTTTTCGATTTATCGAGTTTTTTGAATTTTAAATTTTTCAATTTTTGATTGTTCGATTTCTCGATCTTTTCATGTTTCGATTTCACGATGTTTTTTCAATTTTTGGATGTTTCGACCTTCGATTGTTCGTTTTCCCAATTCTTCAATTTTGGGCAATTTTTAATTTTCGATTTATCTTTTTTATTTTTCAGTTTTTTCGTTTTTCAAAATTCTATTTATTAATTTTTTGAATTTTCGATTTCTCGAAATGTCGGTTTTTTGGTTTTTAAAATTTTTCGACATTTTAATTTTGGGAATTTCTCGGTTTTTCGGGGTTTTAAATTTTAGATTTTTCCTTCGTTCAATTTTCCGATTTTTCGATTTATCCAGTTTTTTGGATTTTAAATTTTTCAATTTTTAATTTTTCCATTTTTGTTTTTCGACTTATCGACTTGTCGACTTCTCGATCTTTTCATGTTTGGATTTCTCGATGTTTTTTCAAGTTTTGGATGTTTTGACTTTTCGAATTTTCGATATTTTCATGTTTGATTTCTCGTTTTTTTTTTTCATTTTTTCAAAGTTTCGATTTTTCATTTTTTCGATTTCCCAATTTTCGACGTTTTAGTGTTGGGATTTGTTACTTTTTCCATTTGTTTTTTTTTTATTATTTTGCAATTCTTCGATTTTTGAAATTTTCGATTTTTTGATGTTTCAATTGCTCGATTTTTCGGGTTTTCAGTTTTTTGAACTTTCGATTTTAAAAATTTTTTAGCTTCTCGTATTTTCGCTTTCTCTATGTTTCGAGTTTTTCAAAATATTTTTTCCCGCTTTAGATATATTTCACATTGACCGCTTTTTCAAAGTTCTGTCGAAATAAACCTTCAACCATTTTTTTTTTTTTTTTTTAAGAGATTGCAAATAACCAAACAATATAAGTGATATTCGCAAAACACTAAAGTGATTAAGATAAGATCTAAGTTTACACGAGAATAAAGATGGATTTTGTAGATTTCTTAAAACACTCGTGGACGTGATCGTTATCAATTCGCAGTAATTCTCAATTTATCAATCAACATCCTCCTGATTTTTTCGCATTTCATTTCCAAAATCCTCCTTAAAAAGTACACAAGTTCTAGTTCGCAAAGAAATATATTCGTGGGATCGCGATCGCAGTAGTTCAGGTCTGGAAACTTCATTATTATTTTATTTATTTCGTGAAAGCATGTTGATTATGTTTATATCGTGTACATCTTTTTGCAGAACGTCCAAGAAATCCTCAACAACAACACCGTCGAGACCATAACCCCCAGCTCGAGCACCTCCCCGGTCTCGCCCGTCGTCAGTCCCCAGAAGGAGTCGCGGCCGACGCCGAGCGTCCCGACGAGCCCCGCCTCCCCGCCCAACGACAATCGCAACTTCATAACGATGCCGTCGCCGACGTCGACGTCGGTAGTGCCGGCGCCGAACAATATCAGTTGTAACGCGCCGAACAGCAACGCCAGCAACGGCGTCCCAAACAACAATCTGAGTGTGAACGGTGGCAGTGAGGTGGTGAGCCCGCAGATGGGGCAGGGCCAGCCGCGGGCGGCGGCGCGCGAGCGGCGGCAGCGCAGCGGCGACGAGAGGCGGGACGGCAGCAGCAGGCGGCGCTCGGGCAGGAACAACAGGAACGCCGGCGGCGGGACGGCGCAGCAGACGCAGGCCAACGCGCAGCAGGGGGCGGCGCAGACGAGCAAGCTCGACCTACCTCCCGGATACGGTGAGAGATTTTTGAGTTATTGTACTTTTTTTCTATTAAACTAAGCTTCCCCCGCTCCTTCAATATTTCTTTTTTTTTTTCTTGAGTTTTTCGATTTACAATTTTTCGAGTTTTTACTTTTAAATTTTTCAGTTTTCCAATTTTTGAATTTTTCATGTTTTTTTATTTCTTCATTTTTTTTCAGTTTTTCAATGTTTTAAATTTTTCAGTTTCATGGTTGTTCAATTTTTCTAATTTTCGTTTTAAGTATGTAACAATAATTTTTTAAATATTTCACTTTTTCAATTTTACAACTTTGGAATGTTCTTCGTCAATTTTTTCTATTTGCAATTTATCGTTTCGGTTTTTTATTTTCTTTGTTTCTTCAATTTTTCGAATTTTTAAAGTTCTGATTTTATAATTTTTCTTTTTTTCATTATGAAAATTTTCAATTTTTGGATTTTTCAGTTTTAGATTTTTTAATTTTACGTTTCTTCAATTATTGATTTGCAATTTTTCTACTTTTCCTTTTAAACATGTACGTGATAGAGTAATAATTATATTTTTAAAAAAATTTCACTTTTTGAAAATTCTAAAATCCAATTGGAAATTATAAAATTTGATTTTGCGATTTCGTTTTTTACCTCTACAAAGTGAAAACTAGTATCGTAAATAACAAGTCCCAAAAATCGAAAATCGACAAACGGAAAACCAAAAAATCGGAATTTCGGAAAATCGACAAGTAAAAAAAATTTTTTGAATCGAAAAACTGAAGAATAGAATTGAAATTTTGAGAAATAGAAAAGTGAAAAAATTAACTGAAGAATTTAAAAATTAAAAAATCAGAAATTAAAAAAATCTAAATGTAGAAAGATTGAAAATTTGCGTATCGAATTGAAGAGTAAAATAATTGAGAAATCGAAAAATTGAAGAATGGAAAAATTGAAAAATCGGAAATTAAAAAAAAATCAAAAATTGAAAATTCGAAAAATTGAAAAATTTGTAAAATTGAGAAATTAAAAAATAGAAACATTGAAAAATCGAAAAAGAAACAAAGTGAAATTTCGAATATCGAAAGAAAATTCGGTGAATCATAATAATCGAAAAACGAAAATCCGAGAAATCGGAAACCGAAAATTCGAAAATCGAAATATAGACAAATGAAATGTCGAAAAGCCGAAGAGTTTCTCAGGAAATCTAAAAGTCGAAAATTCAAGAACTCGACAAACCCAAAAATCTAAAATTAAAATAGCCAAAAATTAAAAAATCCATAAATGGAAAAATTCCCGAAACTGAAGTGATGAAAAATCGAAAAATTCAGCTGTTAAAATATTGAAAAATCGAAAAATTTAAAAAACAAAAAACGAGAAATCGCAAAACCAAGAAAATTAGAAGTCCTATAACTAAAATGTAGGAAAATTGGAAAATCAAAAATCGAAACATTTAAAAAATGGAAAATTGAAAAATTGAAACATCGAGCAATTGGGAAATTAAAACATGGATAAATCGAAGCATCAAAATATCGAGAAATCGAAATGATCCAAAATCGAAAAAGTAAAATCTGAAAAATTGAAAAACTCGAATTTAAAAAAATTTAAAAATTGTAACATCGAAAAATTGATAAAACTGAAAAATCGAAAAATATAAAATTTAAAACCTAAAAATTGAAAAAACGAACAACCGAAAAATCAAAAAATAAGAAATCGAAAAAGTCTAAAATTTAAGAAATCGAAAAATTAAATATCAAAAAAATTGAAGAACCCAAAATTTGGAAAATCGAAAAACAGAAAAATTTAAAAAATAAACATCAAAAATAGAAAAATCCCAAAAACGAAACATCGAAAAACTGAAATTGAAAATTTGAGAAATCGAAAAGTAGAAAAATCTCGAAAAATTGAAAAACAAAAACTGGAAATCCTAACGTCGAGAAACGGGAAAATTAAAAGTCGAAGAGCCCAGAAATTGAGAAACTGAAAAGTGGAAAAATAAAAAAAATCGAAGAATTGATTAATGGAAAAATTGAAAAATCGTAAAACAAAGTATCAGAAAATTGAGACATCGTGAAATAAAAAAAATGTAAGAATTAGAAAATTTGAGACATCAAGAAATTGAAAATTCGAAAAATCGACAAAACTAAAAAATCGAAAAATATAGAATTTCAAAACTAAAAATTCAAAAATCAAAAACTTAAAATATCAAAAAATTGAAAAATCGAAAAAAATTAAGGAATCGAAAAACATAAAAATCCCAAAAATGGAATATCGACAAACTGAGATATCGAAAAATTGATGAAATTGAGAAATCGAAAAGTAGACAAATTTCGAAAAATTGAAAAATCAAAAACCTGAAAGATCGAAAAATTGAAGAATTCGAAATCTGGAAATTGAAGAGTCAAGAAATCGAGAATTCGAGAAACCGAAACATCTAAAAATCGGGAAACGGAAAAATCAAAATATAGAAAAATCTAAAAATCAAAAAGTCGTGAAATTGAAAAGTGGAAAAATAAAAAAAATCGAAGAATTGATTAATGGAAAAATTGAGAAATCGTAAAACTAAGTATCAGAAAATTGAGACATCGTGAAATAAAAAAAATATAAGAATTAGAAAATTTGAGACATCAAGAAATAGAAAATTCGAAAAATCGATAAAACTAAAAAATCGAAAAATATAGAATTTCAAAACTAAAAATTCAAAAATCAAAAACTTAAAATATCAAAAAATTGAAAAATCGAAAAAAATTAAGGAATCGAAAAACATAAAAATCCCAAAAATGGAATATCGACAAACTGAGATATCGAAAAATTGATGAAATTGAGAAATCGAAAAGTAGACAAATTTCGAAAAATTGAAAAATCAAAAACCTGAAAGATCGAAAAATTGAAGAATTCGAAATCTGGAAATTGAAGAGTCAAGAAATCGAGTATTCGATAAACCGAAACATCTAAAAATCGGGAAACGGGAAAATCAAAATATAGAAAAATCTAAAAATCAAAAAGTCGTGAAATTGAAAAGAGGAAAAATAAAAAAAATCGAAGAATTGATTAATGGAAAAATTGAGAAATCGTAAAACTAAGTATCAGAAAATTGAGACATCGTGAAATAAAAAAAATATAAGAATTAGAAAATTTGAGACATCAAGAAATAGAAAATTCGAAAAATCGATAACACTAAAAAATCGAAAAATGTAGAATTTAAAAACTAAAAATTCAAAAATTAAAAACTTTAAATATCAACAAATTAAAAAATCGGAGAAAAATTAAGGAATCGAAAAACAGAAAAATCCCAAAAATGGAACATCGAAAAACTGAGATATCGAAAAATTGATGAAATTGAGAAATCGAAAAGTAGACAAATTTTTCTAAAAATTGAAAAATCAAAAACCTGAAAGATCGAAAAATTGAAGAATTCGAAATCTGGAAATTGAAGAGTCAAGAAATCGAGAATTCGAGAAACCGAAACATCTAAAAATCGGGAAACGGGAAAATCAAAATATAGAAAAATCTAAAAATCAAAAAGTCGTGAAATTGAAAAGTCGAAAAATAAAAAAAAATCAAGAACTCGAAAATTTGAGAAATCGAGAATGAATCGAAAAATTGAAAAATCCCAAAAATGAGATGTCGAAAAATTGAGTAATGGAAAAATTTAAAACTCAAAAAATCGGAAAATCCCAAAACTGAAATATCAAAAAATTGAGAAATCGAAACATCGAAAAGGCGAAGAATTGAAAAATCAGGAAACTGAAAAATTATAAATTTTAGAAATCAAGAAATTAAAATATCAAAAAAATTGAAGAATCGAAAAATTGAAAAATTGAAGAATCGAAAAACAGAAAAAATCCAAAAATGAAACGTTTAAAATTTGAGATCGAAAAATTGCAATCAGAAACCGGAAAAATGGATGAATTGAACATCTGGAAATCGAAAAGTAAAAAAAAAGAGAGCCTAAAAACCGAAGAATGGAAAAATTGAAAAATCGGAAATTAAAAAAATTAAAAATTAAAAAGGAAACAAAGTGAAAATTCCAATATCGAAAGAAAATTCAATGAATCAAATAATAATTATCGAAAAACGGAAAATTCGAGAAATCGGAAAACCGAAAGTTCGAAAATCGAGACTTCGAAAAATCCAAGAATCGAAATACATATAGGCAAACGAAATATCCAGAGTTGAAAAATCGAAAATTCCGAAATGAAAAAACCAAAAAGTTTTCCGAGAAGTCGAATTGTCGACAAACTAAAAAATTTCAAATTGGAATATCGAAAAATTTAAAAATCCAGAAATAGAAAAATTCCCAAAAATTGAAGTGTTGATAACTTGAAAAATCGGGGAATCGAAAATTTTAAACATTGAAAAACCGAGAAGCGGAGAATTGGAAAAATTGAAAAATTGAAGTATTAAAAAATTGTAAAATCGAAGAAACGAGAAATCAAGAAATCCAAGATTTAAATATCGAAAAATTATGGGAAAAATTAAAAAAAAAATAAAAAACTGAAACATCGATAAATCGAAAAATTAAAATTTGGAAAATTAAAAAATTCAAAGAATTTAAAAAAATCGAAAAATTAAAAAATCTAAACACATGTAAATCGAGGAATCGAAAAATTGATAAATTGAAAAATCAAGATAACGAAAATTTGAGTAATCCAAAAATTTAAAAATCAAAAAATCGAAAAATCCCAAAACTGAAATATCGAAAAATTGACAAATCGAAGAAAAATTGAGGAATCGAAAAACAGAAAAATTGATGAAATTGAGAAATCGAAAATAGACAAATTTCGAAAAATTGAAAAGTCAAGAAATCGAGAAACGGGAAAATCAAAATATAGAAAAATCTAAAAGTCAAAAAGTCGTGAAATTTATAAGTCGAAAAATAAAAAAAATTAACTCGAAAATTTGAGAAATCGAGAAATTGAATCGAAAAATTGAAAAATCCCAAAAATGAGATGGAAAAATTGAGTAATCGAAAAATTTAAAACTCAAAAAATCGAAAAATCCCAAAACTGAAATATCAAAAAATTGAGA